CGTTGCATGGAGAATATTCATACTACGTAGTCTCACTCCAGCAGACAGCATTTAAAAGAATAACAACTTTTTTAGTATCAGCAGATACGGATCGTGTTTCTCAAGGCATTTGTTCCTATTTATATGAGAAAAGCAATTGACACTCTTCTCATATGCTGGTATAGGAACCTCTTTCGAGACTATTTTGGAGACATTCACTTGACTGTTGAATGGCTTTAAAAACTCAGTGCCCTTCTGAACAAATGTTCCTCCCTTTTAAGCTTCTACAAACTGATTCATGCTTTTTAATCTGTTGCAACTTTTTTTCCTAGAAAATGTGCTTACATGAGCTAAAGTGGCCAAGTTTGGTATGCCATTGAATTGTCCTGGAAAGGGCCTTGCTTTCGCGGTCCATAGAGGCAAAACCTACAACAGTATTAACGTTTCCAGTTCCAGTCTCCACAAATGCATTGTTCTGAAAACCCCAGAGAAAACATCCCCTACAAAACAAAAGAACACTTAACAGATTAATTTATATAGCTTTTTAATTTTTACAAACTGTACAGATAACTGCCACAAATCTCAGGTGTTTTTACCATCTCGATGATTAAACATCTCTGTAAGTAGCAGCAAAAATTTTATAACCTCTCAGGGCCTGCATCATTAAGTACTGAAAATAACTTGAAGTGCTGTGCAAAGCAAATGGCATAGTTGTAAACTCCTACAGACTCCCAGGAACTTGAAGCCTTTCTTAAGGCAATAGTCAGTAATGTTCCATATAAATAAAAAGCCAAATCTCTACTTTTTATCATCGGATGTTCTAGTTATCCTGGTATGGGCATCTCTGGCTCTGCATTAGCATCGCTGCACCTGCATACACCCCTACGCACCTGCACACACCGGTCGCCTAGATCACCCCTTCTAGAATCAGCGTATCTCTACCACCTTCCTCCACAACAGGCTGAAAACTAATCCATGGCCCATGAATAACCAGTTTCTCAACAGCAGCTTTTCAACACAGAGCTTGCAATCTGTCTCCCATTCACTTTGTCAAATCATGGTCCACATATCAGCCATTTGCAGCAGCGATAGATCTGTCAAGCGTCAAGTACATTTCTTGCAAAGGAAAGTCTTTTTTAGGATTTTTTAACTTTCAAAATGTCTAATCCCAAACATGCAAAATAATGACTCAGGCGCCAAAAAATCATGAGATTTAAAAAAAAAAAAAATAAAAAAAATGTTAATGTCTTTTCCTTTGCTTTCTGGAGCTTTTTCTGGGTCATGTTTTCAAGCTTTTCTCCAAGGCCATAAGGGCTTCAAACATTATTAAAAAGAAAGCAACCAAGATCCTTTTGTAATTGCATGTTTAAGGAAAACATTTATTGCCATCAGACTTAAATTGTGTTGAACTGACAACCAAGAATCTTCAGAGATTTTTTTGATCAAATAATCCTGAAAAGGAATACTGCTTCAAACCCGTTTTCTCTAGAGTTTTGTTTACATTATTTATGTATTTTTTCCAGATAATTAAGCCTAACTGAAAGCAAGTTGTTAAACACGGAGGAAAGCCATGACTTAACACTGTCTTGAAGGACTCTTTACAATATCAAAATATCCGAGGTACAGATTATATAGATCCTCACACAAACAGTGATTTCTTCCCCTGAAATTTGTGATTTGCTCCCCCTTAATACTGAGTCCCCTTGAAATCTTTACTCTGGATTTTTTTTTTTTTTTCAGTGAGGAGAAGACAGTTTTGTGTGACAATGTGCATCACAAATCTTCTTAGAAGTTCTTCAGATTCCAGCTGTTTTGTGACAGAGATGTTTATGAGTATTTGATAAATGTAACTGTTCCTGTTAATTGTCACCATCTCAGCTTATTTGTGCAGTGCTCACTGATTTGTTTTTATTTAAAGAGGGAAAGGCATTCCCTTCTTTTTGCAAAACAATTCCTCTGTAGGGCATTATCTGAGCTCGGTATAGTGTCCTTCCTGCATCCTTTCTCTTCCATCCTTTCTGTCCTGATTAAAACTACCAGA